CCTGCAGCCCCCCACAGGATTTGCTATACCCCACCCACACCAGGCATTCCTCCTACCCCTCCCCTTCTCCTCTAGACCCTGGCCTGAGAAATCTTTGGCAGGGCGCTGGTGACCTGCCTTGTGATGCTGGACAGGTCACTGTCCCTCTCTGGGCCGTAGTTTCTTGACAAGAGATGAAACCTCTGGGTTCCTCAGGTAGAGGGAGCTGGGAGGACATTGCAAAGGAGAAAAGGTCTATGGCTTTTCAGACCCAGGCTTCAGCCTCTCCGTGAGCAACACTTCCCCATTCCAGGGCCTCTCCAGTATCCACCCCTCGGTCCTTCATCCCCTCCCTGAAGCATTCCTGGGACTCCGGCCCTTGCCAGCCTCCTCCTGTCTCTCCATTCACAGGCCAGCACCCTGAGCCCACTTGGTGCCAGGCCGCGTGCACAGACACCCTCTGGAATTCTTCACGAGAAGCTGTCAACACCCAGAGGCCGAGGGTCAAGTTCCTGCCCCGCGAGAGTGCACAGTCCAGTGGTTCATTAAACTCAGTCTCCCCCCACCCCAGCCTGGCCTCACAGAGACCCCTTAGGAGATTATGGGCAGAATCTTGAGATGAGTTAATCTCACAAAGCCTCGCCTACCCCAAAGGCTCACTCCCATCTCCGTAGTGTTCTGTGACACACACACACATACACACACACACCAAGCACATACTCGCTTGTGCTCCCACTCCCTGCCTGGTTTTCCCCTGCTCCCTCTGGACCCAGCTCTGTACAAACAAGCAGACAGGTCCTCAGCCCGGCTCGGCTTCACTAAACCTACCCCGACACCACCATCCTGTGGCCCTCGCAGGTGGAACTGGCTGTTGCTCTCCCGTGAGGGGGGAGACATTCTTTCTGGCTCCCTGCTGCACTTTCAGAACCATTACTCTGACCAGTGTCCTCCCCCGAAAACACATCCTCTGATTCCTAGAGAAAAAACAAAAGGCATGATTTGTTTTCTTGATCTTGGAATTCGAACGCTTGTAATCGTAACAAAAGCCATTTCACATTTCTGCGGGGAATGTAATACTTTAAAAGAAAGTCAAATGATAAAAGACAAGGAAGCAACATATATGACAATCAACAGGCTACTTTCCTGAATAGAAGAATGCATAAGAAAGACAAGCAATACAACAGAAACGTGGGCAACAGACATGGATAGTATGAGCTACAGCTACCTAGTGCCTACTTTCCGTGGGCCTGGCTAGGTTCCAAGCTCTTTGCAGCCAACAACCCATTTAGTTCTCACGATACCCCTGCGGCATAGTGTGGGTTATTACCTCCATTTTAAGAGAGGAAACTGAGGCATAACATATTTAAGTAAATGGCCAAAAGTCACATAGCTAGTCTGTAGAAAAGCCAGGATTTGAACCTTGACAGTTTGAACCACTAGATTCCTTACAAAAAGAAGAAAAGAAATTAAGAAAATCAAATAGCAAATATGAAAAAAAAATGCTCAACCTCACTCAAAGAAATATGACCAGAATTGCAAGGAAAAGCCATTTTCACCTGTCAGATGGTCAAAGACTAACAGTGTTTGCGGGTGTGTGGGTAACAGAAAGTTCTGTCCTTTGTTCGTGGGGTCATCGATTGGCACGTCCTCTTCCCTTCTTGTGTTCCTATGGCTGGACTAATCATAAAATTTGGAAAATACCAGATTAACAGGAGAAAAACCCAGTTTAATCTGTATGTACTGGAGATCATAAAGAAACGATGCTCGGAGAGTGAACAAAGCAGGCAGTATATATATCTTTTACATAAAGAAACGGTAAATTTGTGAAGAACTGACAGGACAAAGAAACTTAGATTTGAGGTATGTAGTTAGTGAGGAATTTAAGCCAAGTTTAGGCTTGAGGTGGTAAATTAGCAAGGCTTGTTTAGGCAGGATTCTCGGCCCTGAATTCCCTAGCTCTGGTGATAAGGATGCAGGGAGAACACCTTTCACATGGGAGATTCATTTTCTGCTTTCAGGGGATCAGAGACAGGAGGGTCAGAATGCCCTTTTTTCTCCTCAAGTAACTTTAATTCAAAATAATCAAAATGCCATTGTGGGGTATTTTGGGGTGGCCTGCCCTGGGCCCCAACAATAGCTATCAAAATTAAAGACATGTGTCCTTACCTCAATAAACAAAACAAATTAAATGAATCCACTTGTCCTTGACCAAGTACCTCCACTGCCAGGAACTCATTCTACAGATGCTCTCACCAAAAGTGCACACGGACGTGTGGTCCCTGCTGCCATAATTTTATGTTAGTGAAAAACAGGAAACAACATATATGCGCATCAATGGGAAGTAATTAGATAATTAAGCTACATACGTTCGGAGGAATGCTACTTACTGAAAAGAATAAAATCCTTTATATACTGATTGAGTTTTTACCTTTATGTATTGATTGCAGAAATCACTGTAGTTTTTGAAAAGCCTGTGAGGCTCATGCCGTCCAGCTATACTGCCATCCAGCTATCTACCCCCTCCCCTGTGGCTGGTCCCTGCTGGCCCACAGTCAGCTCCTGACCTCCTGACCATCCCCTCACGCTCCCCAGGGACTCTGGCCCTGGTTCCTGGTGCCCCTCTCCACCCTGGCACCCTCATGCTCCTGCAGATGACCTGCCCAGCATCTGCGCCTGATCCTCCCTTAGCTCCTCAAGTCCAGTGACTTTCACTTCCATCCTTTTTCTCTTGTCTCTGCCCGTGGCCACACTCTAGACCCTAAACTGCTCCATCTCTGAAGACGTCAACTCTGCTCTCACACCACAGGACCATTCAATACTCTCTCACTCTCAGCAGATGGGTTCTTCAGCCACAGCAGCATGCCCAGTCCTGAACCCAACTCTTCCATTTGCTCCCCGCC